CTGATCTGCCTCGCCAGAGAAGAGCGCAATGATGGTGCCAACTTGGGCCAGTGAAGCAACGTCCTCCACAACTAGACTGAAGAACAAAATGATAGTAACTTGTCTGTTCCCCTTCCCCCAATTCCCCAGCATTGTTCCCATCCCCCCAATTCCCCAATAAAAATCTTAAAAAAAAAAAAAGGCAACATGGGTGGATAGATGGTCTTCTTTCCCAAAGCAAACTTCTCATACAAAGACAAGACTGAGGAAAGTTTTCATATAGAAATAATATAAGATGGTGTTTAAAGCCAAATTCACCAGAGGACAACAAAGTCTGATCAGAGGCTCCAAACCCCAGGAGACACTAAGAATTACATTGGGGGAAGCGGGAGAAGGTGGTTCAGTTGGTTAGAGCGCATGCTCTGAACAAGGTTGCTGATTCGATTCCTGCATGGGATGGTGGGCTGTGCCCCCCGCAACTAGATTGAAAACGGTGACTGGACCTGAAGCTGAGCTGCACCTTCCACAACTAGATTGAAGGACCATAGCTTGACTTGGAGCTGATAGGCCTTGGTAAAAACACACTGTTCCCCAATAAAAATTTACATTGGGGCCAAAGAGATCATCAGAATGAAGATTTACTGCAAAACTCATGTAATCAGGGACAGAGGGGTCTCAGATATGCACATTATAACCAAATTAAAAGTCCTATTCACTACAGTAAGGGTCTAGGTTGAGCCTCAGAATTTCCAAATTGTCCTAGCCTAAGACCACTGCCTTAGTTCATTCAGGCTGCTATAACAAAAATACCACAGACTGGGTGGCTTATAAACAATAGATAATTATTTCACATAGTTCCGGGGGCTAGGAAGTCCGAGAGCAAAGTGCCTCGTGTCTGGTGAGATCCCACTTCCAGGTTCAAAGGCAGCCAACTTCACTCTGTCTTCGCATGGAAGAAAGAGCAAGGGAGCTCTGTGGGTCTCTTATATAAAGGCACCAATCCTATTCATGAGGGTCTACCCTCATGACATAATAATCTCCCAAAGGCTCCACCTCCAAATGCTACCACGCTGCCACATGCAGGGCACCATCTGATTCCAATGTGCTCCTGCCTCTGCGACAGTAAAGGACAACGGAGTCATGAAGGTAGAGTAATTAATACCTATCGCTCAGACTGCCAGCACTAGGAAAATCTCTGAAGCGGCAAAGAGCTTACATATGAAACTTGGCCTTATTGTCAAGGCCACAGTCACCAAATTGTTAATATCCTTGCATTCCCCAAAGACCCAAGGTTCCAGAAAGAGCAATGCTTGTCCATAAAGAAAAAATAATACATGAACTATAAGTACAGAGAGCCTTTTTTAAAAATACTAGTTGACTTTAGCATTATGGTAAAAATAAATTCTGAAAATAGTCAATTTCAGTATCATATCAACAGAAAAAATGGACATTTAATCTCTATAAGTCAAGTCCCTCTCCTTAGGAAGCACTGTGGGATAAGAAGAAATACATATCTTCTGGGATAAGAATTTAGTTTTTATTTGATTTCTATGATAGGCAAATTTGGAGGGAAAAAAGTATGAATTCTCTATGTGCTATATGATGCACAGAAGTTAAACAGTTTTAAGTTATTAGTTTTCCTATTTGAATATAATGACTCAAGTTATCAGTGTAATGATTTAAGCAAAAGGAGAATAATTACAGTGTTTACTCTTGGTTTTGCTCTATCAAGTGAATTTATACAGAAGTGTTCTTTAAAATTCACACCTTATGACAATTTCCCATTATGTTATAGTATGTTATCAGAACACTGAAGTATACACAAAAGAAAATTTTTAACATCTTTAATACATGCTCAATTTCCATTATAAAAATTAACACATATGCATCTTAGTGACTAACTAAAGGCATGAAACACCAACTAAATTTAACTGTATATGATATAGAAAATTAGATGAGTATAAGCACAATTACATAATTCTATTTCCAAAGTTAAAAAAGAAAGATATCAGGATTATAGAGTGATAGTGGGTTTTCTGTTCTTTTTTTCCCCTTGAACCAACAGACTTAAGAGTTAAGATTTTATATTCTAATAAACTTCAAACCTAACTTTTATAAAAACAAATTAACGCTTGAATTCTAGAATAAAAATGCCAGAGCTGAATTTTTAAATGGATAATTAAAAAGGGAACAACTGAATTATTAAGTACCTTGTTCAAGCACACTCATCACCTGTCTAAGAAATTGTGAGACAATCAATCATTCAGGTTTGCAGAATACCACATACATTTTTCTAAATGTCACAAAAAGGCTGAGCAGAGTTTCTCCAAGGACACTCCACTTTTAGAATGTTAACTGTGGAAATAGATTAAGCTGTTTGTGGGAAAGGGGAGCAGAAATATGCTTGCTACCTTAAGAAGTTAAGGAGAAAGGTCAATGTGAAGTCTGATAAATGTTAAGAATGTAAGAACAAAAAAGAACACAGTGTATAAAGAAACCATAAGAAAACTCAGGTATATTAGCAATTTAAAATTTTTCTTTGCTAATGAGCTATTTGACTCTTTATTTTCTTTATCAAAGTAATAACTAATTTCTCATAAGATAGTACTAGTATAGTTTTGCCAATAAAAAATAATCTTTAAACTACCTGGCTACATAACACATCAAGTTTGCGCTAAATGGTTTTAACCTTTATTAACATGACTCCAGTGTAGTGTTAGTGAAAACTGATACTATTTTTTAACATTTCACTTTCTTATAACTAATTATACAGAACTATTAATAGCTCCACATTCAATCTTGAGTATATAAAAGAATACATACATAGCCAATAGGAAAATCATTGGGAAAGAGTTTGAGAGAATGTTTAACAACTTTGTCACACTGTTGAAAATCTGTTTTATTTCTAAAGTAGAGACAATATGAAGCTAGTACTTCCAAGAACACGGAGATAGCAGAAGAAAGTTGCTAAGTACAGTACTGATTTAACAAGAGATTGGTCTTATGTGTATTACCCAGCACCATTACTTTCTCTGTTAAAACAATTGAAACTAAACAAAACAAATGCAAGCCTATTTATTTTTTGTTGATTTTCACAGGAGATCCTTTGATGTTGAGCTTGTCCACAAAAACATTTGATCTTCTTCCATGTTCAGTGGCTGGATTTTGATGAGGTTTCTCCCTGAGAAAGATACATATGAACATCAATACCATTTTTTAAATGGTCAATGGCTTAGAAATCAATGCAAACATATTAAAAACCACTGTCATTTAAGGAAAGTTTTATCTTAACAGTTCCTTAATACCTTTGAAAAACATATGGCAGGCTACTTCATTTAACATTTAAGAGAGCAACAGCTGCTTTCCTGAGATAGATTTAACTGCTTACGGTTTTACCATGCTGTCCAACATGGTAGCCACTAGTAATATCATTTATATTCAATATATAGTTAAAATAAAAAATTTTAATTCACGCCCTCAGTTACATCAGCCACATTTATTTTTCTTAAGATTTTATGGGGGAATTGGGGGAGAGAGGAAGAGCATTGGGGAATCGGGGAAGGGGAACAGACAAGTTGCTGTCCTTTGGTTCTTCAGTCTAGTTGTGGAGGATGNCTGAGCTGCCAACAGGTGGCAGGATGGCTCAGCTGGTGTAACAACAAGACTGCCTGTTTGATGGGGGGCTACACCCACCTGCAACTAAGCCTGAACTCGGCACCTTGAGCTTAGAGGTCACAAGCTGCCGACGGGAAGCCAGATGGCGACTGGCGCCCTCCACAATGAAGACTGAAGAACAACTTGGCTGGTCCCCTCCCCCAATTCCCCAATAAAATCTTAAAAAATAAAATAATCAGAAAAGATATTTTCAAATAAATTAAATAAAAGTGGCAGATACCTTTACTGAATGCGACAGGTTTGAAAATATACACTGGAGTTGATAAGAAAGACAGTTCCCAACAACTAATAGGAAATACAGTTTTTAGTTTAAATTTTACTTTTTCTTCCCCTTTCCCCTTATTGTAGTTCACAGCTAGCAAGGATGTATGAGGATTCATATGCTCTATGCAGCAGCGCCCCTTGCTCTAAAGTGGCCAACAAAAGGCTCCCAATTCCTTCAACACAAAAACAATGACATTTAAAAAAACCCCCTCATTTTAATAGGGGGAGGGGAGCAATCCTGCATTTTAGGGACTCAAGGCCCAAAGTAAACCCTTCCTATAGGACTACACATCAAAAATGCACTGCAGTCATTTCTGGGCAAAGGGAAGTGGAAGACCTTGGAAAAGGTGGTAAAATAGTAACTGGAACCTGAGTGATAGGCACTCAGTTCATTAAATCCCCGTGATACCAGTGAGCAAAGCACCTGAGGTCTGCATGACAGGAAAGGCTCAACTCCTACCCAATCCTATTTCATTCATCCTACCCCGCACAAGGCTGAAACAAGACCACAGAAAAGGACCGGGAGGTCCCAGCGCCAAACCAAATAAGCCAGGGCCAGCTAAAAGAGGAGGCAGTCAGCAGAAGGACGCTCTAGTGAAAAAAGCACGTGATAATGAGTCAAAAGCCCTGGGTCCCAGACCCGGACACACTCATTTTTCAACTGTCTTGACCTTCACTCCAGTCACTTCTTTTTAAGGTATACCCCAAACCAAGAGGTATAACCATCAACAGGAAACCTGTCCAACCTCCCGGGGCGCCAAGACGCTGCACACGAGTGACAGACAAGCAGTTGTGAAGGTGCCGACGGGCTTTTCAGCACTGAGGCAGGATGGCTTGTATTCGGAGCTGTCGGTAAGGAAGCGCCAGGGAGGGAAGGGTTGTTACTGCCTCCCTGGCCCCGGGGGGCCGCAAAGTCCCGGCGACAGTCCCCAATTATTCGCTGGGTACTGATACCTGCTTTCTCTGCCAGCCCAGGACGGCGGGGACCCGCGGGAGCGGCCCGCGCCCCAGAGCCGCACAGGCGGCCGCTCCCAGCAGCCTCATGGCAAGCGCAGAACACGCGACCAGGTCTCGCGGCCCCGGGTCAGCTTAGCAACCTGCACCAACACGGGAGCGCTCAAAGTCACGCCGGCAGCCAGTGCCGGAAGAGCACTTCCGGGGCGAAGGACGCGGGGGGCGAAAAAGGGAGGAGCTTCCGGACCTCGGAGCAGAGCAGCGCCCTCCGTTGCCTGGGCGCCCTCTCCTGACTTGGAAGAGGAAGTGCAGTCGCTTTGCGGCGCTCATCAAGCTTTGCAAGCTCCCGGAAAGATGCAGCCTTTAAATGTCGATGTTTTGTCGCTATAGCAATGTGGGGAAATGTTTATAAAGAATTTAAGCGAAAAAAAAAAAAGTGAAATTGTTATCTGTGCTATTACAAATGTAAAAAATAATTATCCGGGGGCCTGCCCAGTGGCTGAATTGGTAAAGAGCTTGCTCAAGAGTGTGAGCTCTGAGCAACAGGGTTGCCGGTTAGATTCCCACATGGGTCCAAGCTGAGCTGCCGCTGAGCTGCCAACAGGTGGCAGGATGGCTCAGCT